CAATGCCATTATTAAAGAGGGTTTTTACATGTACTCTTTCAATGAATTCTTGGGTTATGCATTCATTCATTCATTTATTAACTATATCTGTTCAAAAGCCATTTTAGATGACTCACCCATTTATATGGTTATTTGATCATTCCTTCATTCTTAAGATATTTAATCATTAATTTACTTGAAGAACTCTTCATATATTTACTAATTTGGATATATTTTTCATTATATTTATTTGATAATTCACTTATTCAAATGGTTAGTAGATTCAGTTATTGAATTACATAATCATATGATTATTGTGTCATCTATCCACTAATTCCATTCATTCATGCATTCATGCATGCATTCATTCATTCATTCATACTTTCATACAGTTACTGTATCACTCATTCACCTATTCATCCATCTGGTTAGTGACCATTCATGTACTCTGCTCTGGCTCTGGCAGGTAGGGAGAGGTGTCCCAGATAAGAATGGGCTGATGGCCTCAGCAGAGGGAGGGATTTGCTGTTGGGGCTAAGCAGTGGCCTTGGAAGAGTTTTGGAAGGGCCTGGTGCCTAACCCAGTGAGGGCTGGAAAGGCAGGCTGCATCCTGGGGCCCGGCCTAGGTAGTGACGGCCCCCACTGAGGGAGTTTGGGCAGGCAGGGTGGTTGGGACAGGGGTCATGGCCCTCTCAGAGGGTCCTCTTGAGCACTCTGTGAGCCCACCCTGTCACCTCAGCCCCAGTCTTCTCACCTTCCTGGCTTCCAGCATGCGGCCCAGCTGCAGGGCAATCTGGGCAAAGGGGGGTCGCTCATAGGGACGGTCCCGCCAGCACTGACGCATCAGCTCGTACCTGTGAGGGCGGCATTGCTTAGATAAGGGGTCAGGTCAGCTGGGGTGATGGGCTCACGGGGATCAAAGCTGAGGTCACTCATCACAGAGATAGGGTCATGGAGCACAAGGACGGGGTGACTCACACTTCATCGTCACAGTTTCGAGGCTGCTCCATGCGGTATCCCTGGGGCAGCTTTTCATAGAGCTCGGCACAGGTCATCCCACAGTAGGGTGTACCTCCTGCAGGAGGGGACAAAGTGCTCTCAGTCCGGGGCTCCACATGGGGTAAGGTGGGGCACTCTGGGAAATGGGGGTCAGGGACTCACCAAGGCTCACGATCTCCCAGAGGAGGACCCCAAAGGACCAGCTGAAATAAAAAGGATGTACTTGGTTGTCTTCTAGGCCCTGGCCCCTAGCAGTTTAGCTTCTAGCTCCCCAAGATGTGCAGCCCTTCCCAGCCCTGCATGTGTCTATTCTTTAAGAATCTGGCCTTGGCCAGCTGTTGTCTCTGCCCCAATGAAGCTCCTTCATACTGCCCCCATCCCCGGGCTCAACTCAATTAGAGCTAACTTTTTTTTTTTTTTTTTTGAGACAGGGTCTCACTCTGTCACCCAGGCTGGAGTGCAGTGGCTTACTGCAGCCTTGATCCTCTGGGATCAGGTGGTCCTCCTGCCTACGTGTGTGCCACCATGCTTAGCTAATGTTTTGTATTTTTAGTAGAGATAGGGTCTTGCGTGTTGCCCAGGCTGGTCTCAAACTCCTGGTCTCCAGTGATTTGCCTGCCCAGCCTCCCAAAGTACTGGGATTACACAGATGGGCCACCATAGCCAGCCGAGCTAACATGTTTATTGAGCACTTACTGTGGTGGAGGCACTGATCATTTAACATATATGTTAATTCATGTAACCGTCACACCAACCCTATGATACGTTTTATTATTCTTGCCATTTTACAGATGGAGACACTGAGGCACTGAAAAGTCAGCTGGCTTGCCCAAGGCCATACAGCTGGTTAGTGGCAGAGCAAGCGTTCAAACCCAGGCAGTCTGGCTCCAAAGCTCTTCCTCTTGACTGCACCTCACACTGTAACCGCCTCTGTGTAGTGTGCATCAGGCCTGAGACCAGAGGAGAGAGTTCACGGGGGTGGAGGGAATCTAGAGAGTGTTGGGGCAGAAGCAGGAAGTAGGCATGTAGTGGTCAGAGGGGCGATCAGTGTGGTAAAGTGAGCCATGCAGGCCAGGCCAGAGGGCTTGGGGCAGGGGGTCGGTTCAGACCAAGACAGACATCCCTGGAGAGATAGGAGGAGTGTGCCAAGAGGGCTGTCTGCAGGGGAAGGGCACAGAGAGGGAGTCTTGGGGGGTCATGCTCTGGTAAGATCCTCAGGTGGGTATAACCTTGCCCTTCAGGGAGGAAGGTGAGAGCAATTCCTGAGTGACCTCTCCACCTATGGCAGGAAGCATCCACCAGCATTCCCAAACCTCTCCTAGGCATCCCCCCATCACTTACACAAACATAATCCTAAACTACCTTTACCCCTGAAATACCTGAGACTTCTTCCAGCTAGCCCTGCCTTGACTGGGTACTTTACTATACCCAGGACACCTGTGTCACACCTGGAACACAGCCCAGGTCATGCCTTAGACTACCCACGACATTTCTGAGATGTGTCTAGGTTAGGCCCGTGTGATTCTTGGGGGCCAAGCCCTCCTATGCCCTCCCACCCCACACTCACACATCACTCTTAGTGGTATAGACGCTGTAGTTCAGAGACTCAATGGCCATCCAGCGCACGGGGAGACGCCCCTAGGAGAGAATGGGTTTGAGGGGCTGAGTGTGGAGGAAAGGCCTGTTTGAGGCTCCTAGCGGGCAGGGCCAGGCACAAGCCCTGACGGTGAGGGTTGAATGAGACTCACCATCGTCTTCTTCACATAAACCTCCTCTCCCCGAGAAAGGCCGAAGTCTGCAATCTTGGAGGCCAGGTTCTCTCCGACCAGCACATTCCGGGCAGCCAGGTCCCTGTGGATGAACTGCAGGCAGGGTCAGAAATCAGGAGAGACTGGGGATGAGGGAGCTCAGGACAGTCAAGCCAGTAAGGGCACCCTCGTTGCCTTCAGTACCCCTGGCAGCCCCTGGCTGCAATCTTGTCAGCTGACTCATATCTGAGAAAGATCAGTGTTGGCTCTCACCTGCTCCTTCCTGGGCCGTGGCCAAGTTCAGGCTGGATCCCTTTTCCTGAGACAGTGGTAGCCACACTGTACCTTCTCCTCTTTCCATCCTTCTCTCCCTCCCTCCTCATTTCCCCTGGGTTCCAGTTTCTCTCCCTTAGCCCTCCAGCTTCCTCAGAGACCTCTCTCCACCAGCCCCTCCCTCTGCACTAGCCATTTCCCCTGCACCTCTGCCTTCAAAAATACTTAAAACTTAACTATCTTTAAAATGCCGGCTGGGTGCAGTGGCTCATCCCTGTAATCCCAGTACTTTGGGAGGCTGAGGCAGGTGGATCACTCGAGGTCAGGAGTTCGAGACCAGTCTGGCCAGCATAGTGAAACCCCATCTCTACTAAAAATACAAAAATTGGCTGGGTGTGGTGGTGATGCCTGTAATCCCAGCTGCTACGGAGGCTGAGGCAGGAGAACTGCTTGAACCTGGGAGGCAGAGGTTGCAGTGAGCCAAGATGAGCCACTGCGCTCTAGCCTGGGCAAAAGAGTGAGACTCAGTCTCAAAAAAAAAAAAAAAAACAACAGATAAAATGCCTTCCCTTGGTCTCACATTCCCCTGGATGGTCATCCCCCTGTCTTTTCATTCAGTCCTGAGCGGACTTGAGCTCAGATCTCTGCCCTTCCCCCTCTCCAGTGGATCACACTAGACCCATCGCCATGAGGCACCATCTGTGGGGGTGAAAGCTCACACGCAGATGCTGCCTCCAGCCTGGGCCTCTCTCCTGAGTTCCAGGCTAGCATCTACACCTGCTCACTCAACACCTGCACCCTCCACACTGGAAATCCCCGCCTCCTCCAGACCTGCCCCTTGGCCTTGCTTCCTCCTCGCTGTGCTTGCATCTACCCACCTACCTGGGCCAGGAACCTCAGTACCCACATCCCATCAGGGCTGGCTGACTTCTTCCCCTGAGGCTGGCCCAGTGGCTTCCCCTCTGCCCTCCACCCACCCCAATTCACACACACCTGCTTCTCACTCAGGTACTGCATGCCATTGGCTGCATCACTGGCGAAACGCAGCAGCTGCCGGGAGCTGAGGGTCGAGGCTGTCCCATGCTCTCGAGCAAAAGCTGGGTCCGTCTCCAGGACCCGGCTCTTCCGCAGAAAATCTAGCAGGTTCCCGTAGGGGGCATATTCAATAGCGATATACAAATAACCTGGGAGGTAAACAGACCGACCGTGGTGATTGAGACACAGGCAACGGGGGGTGGGAGCAGGCACCCGATGGTAACAGACAGGGATGAGAGGATCAAGGGTGATGCACAGGTCACTGGCAGCCCCCAGCAAGCTACTCATGTTGTGGAGGTGATGGCTGAGGATGGGGGTTTGGAAGAAGGGGTAGGTGATGGACTGGGGGCTCACCTCGGTTCTTACAGGCCCCCAAGAGGTTGATGATGTTGGGGTGATGCCCCAATTTGCACAGAACTTCCAGTTCTCCCGCAAAGTCACGATGGTCATTTTCAGAGGCATACTCTGTGTAAAGAATCCAGTATTACTTTTGGAGAAAGGGCTGGCAAGGGCTGGGTCAATTGCTGGAGGAAGCCAGGTGGGGCCTGGGATGTGTGGGACAAAGGAGAGCATCAGGGCTGGGCCAGGGGTCACCCCAGTGGACCTTTCAGCATCTTGATGGCTGCATTCATCTTTAGCCCGTCCTTCTTGATCATGGCCCGGATGACCTGGCCGAAGTTCCCCTCCCCGATGAGGTCCTCAAAAGTGATGTCCTCCCACTCCAGCACTGGGTAGCTCAGGGGCTCAGGCTGTGGTTTTGGCCGCCGGGTCAGTGTCAAGGTCCCTGAGCTGAACTGCAGGATGGTCTCCTCACCCTTCACAGGATGGGACAAGAGGGTAGACAGTCCACACAAGTGTCAACGGGGCAGAAGGAGGCACAGACAGGCACTCGAAGAGGTTCTCGTGTCAGACAAGTGGGCAGAGACCCAGAGAGAGAGGGCACCCTGGTGGTCGGCCAGGGACAGACAGGCAGACAGAGGACATAACTGAGACAGAATCATAGGTAACAGCCATAGGTAGGCTGCTGAGTGGACAGATGTCCAAGGAGAGAAATGCAGAGGCTGCAGCTGGGGGATCTGATGTGCAGGGCTCTGGAAGGCAGAACCAAGGCTTGTCGGTAAGGCTGCTAGAAGCCACAATGTGAGTCAATGGAAGGAGGATATTTCTAACATTTAAAACAGAAAAGGATTGAAATGAGCTTCCTATGATTGCGCTAATCCCACAACTAGGCTTTTTTTGGGGGTGTGGGGGTGTTACCAGGAAGGCTCTTGAGAGGATTCCAGCCTTGGGCGGTTGGCCAGGGTACATTTATCGAGCACCTACTACATGCTTATCCCTGAGCTACTGGGAGCTAGTGGAGGGGTTTTCTTCTCCACAGTAGCAGAAGCAGAGATTACCCTGTCCACACACTTGGTGTCTCTCCATAGCTCTAAAAGCAGGCCAGGACCTGAATGTAGCAAGACCATAACAAAGAGGAATGTCTAGTTCCCTGAGTAGAAGGAGGCCAAATGGGCGGGGCTGATGGCAGGAAAAGGCAATAAGTGAACAGGACCAAGGGAGCTGCCAATATGAGAACTGGAAGAAGGGTTAAGACAGACCTTCTAGGCCGGGCGTGGTGGCTCATGCCTGTAATCCAAGCACTTTGGAGGCCAAGGCGGGCGGATCACCTGAGGTTAGGAGTTCAAGACCAGCCTGACCAACATGGTGAAACCCCGTCTTAAAAAAAAAAAAAAAAAAAAAAAAAGACAGACCTTCTGGTGGGTCTTCCTAAGTGCACTGGAGCCCAGTTTGATAGGCAAAGGCTGAAGACGTGAGGCACAGGGATTTGCATGAAGCACTGATTTGGTGCTTACCAAAGGCACATACCAAATGCACGTGATGTCTTCGGCAGCACCATATGTAGGTGCATGTGTGTATAGGTTCATATACACATGCAGGCCTGAAGATGCACAGGTATAGGGACACATGCATTTGGGACAGACACACATGGGGGCACCCACAAAGGATGCATATGTGCACTCATACATGGGGCACATATATTTCCTATCCATATGCAGGCACAGGTAGCAGGGATATGTCTTTTTTTTATCTTTTTTTGAGACAGGGTTTTGCTCTGTTGCCTAGGTGGAAGTGCAATGGCATGATCTCAGCTCACTGCAGCCTCAAGCTTTTGGGCTCAAGCGATCCTCTCACCTCAGCCTCCTGAGTAGCTGGGCCCACAGGTGCACACCTCCATGCCTGTCTAATTTTTGTATTTACTTTTATTGTAGAGATGGGGTTTTGCCATGTTGCCCAGGCTGGGGGTATATATCTTGATATATAGTATGATACCCTGTATGTTAATGACTGCTTGCCCACCTCCTGCCCTCAACATCTGTACTCATTACCCTCCCACACCACAGCAGTGAGGGCTTTCTGCATGCACTGACCTCAGAGGCAGGGCCAACACAGCCTGTAACAAAGAAGCCAATTCATCTCTGAATGGATTTTCTTTTTTTTTTTTTTTTTCTTTTGAGATAGAGTCTCACTCTGTCATCCAATCTGGAGGGCAGTGGCGCATCTCAGCTCACTGCAACCTCTGCCACCCGGGTTCAAGTGATTCTCTTGCCTCAGCCTCCCGAGTAGCTGAGATTACACATGCCTGCCACTGTGCCTGGCTAATTTTTGTAGTTTTAGTAGAGATGGAGTTTCACCATCTTGGCCAGGCTGGTCTTGAACTCCTGACCTTGTGATCCACCTGCCTTGGCCCCCAAAGCACTGGGATTACAGGCATGAGCCACCGTGCCTGGCCTCTGAATGGTTTTTTTTAGGCACAGCAGAGACACTAGCCTTTCTATTACAAGGGTCAGCCCTTGAGAGAGAAAAGGGTTTTCTTTTTTGTTTTATTATTATTTTTGAAATGCCAAAGCTTAGCTGTAAGCATCAAGAATCCAGGCCTGGAAGGCCAAGGACAGAGTTCAGATCCTAAGTGATGACAGTGAGGAAGCCTTCAAAGGAGACAGGACCTGCGGGGGGTAGGTTAGAAGGAAGGAGGTGACAGGATGAAGTAATAGGTCTCCTCTCACACCCCACCTCTAGGCGGGGGCCTGAGGGACGGAAGGGTGTGGGTGGACAGAAAACTCAAGCAGGATTACAGGGAAGCCAGGAGCGATAGGTGAGGTTACAGGCACAGTTCTAGAGTGGTAGAAACAGTTGTCTAAGGGTTAAGGGATTATGGCAGTGGGTCTGAAGGCCACAGAATATGCCTCCATCACAAGGTATAAGGAAGCCCCTACAGTTCTTTAGTTCTTTTTGTTTTACTTATTTATTTTTTTTGAGATGGAGTCTTGCTCTGTCACCCAGGCTGGAGTGCAGTGGCGTGATCTTGGCTCACTGCAACCTCCACCTCCCAGGTTCAAGCAATTCGCCTGCCTTAGCCTCCCGAGTAGATGGGATTACAGGCGTGTGCCACCATGTCTGGTTAATTTTTTAATTTTTAGTAGAGATGGGGTTTCACCATGTTGGCCAGGCTGGTCTTGAATTCCTGAGCTCAGGTGATCCACCCGCCTCAGCTTCCTAAAGTGCTGGGATTACAGGCGTGAGCCACCGCACCTGGCCAGTTCTTTTTATTTTTTTAGACGGAGTCTTCCTCTATTGCCCAGGCTGCAGTGCAGTGGCAGCATCTTGGCTCACTGCAAACTCTGACTCCTAGGTTCAAGTGATTCTCCTGCCTCAGCCTCCTGAGTAGCTGGGATTACAGGTGTGTGCCACTACGCCTGGCTAATTTTTGTATTTTTAGTAGAGAAGGGGTTTCACCATGTTGGCCAGGCTCGTCTCAGGTGATCCTTCTGCCTCAGCCTTTCAAAGTGCTGGAATTACAGGTGTGAGCCACCACGCTTGGCCCAGTTCTTAAGTCTCCAAAAGGATGCCCTGGAATTTGTAAGAATGGAGGTTGGGATGAGGAGTTCACAGCATAACTGGCCTACTGGCAGGTGGCCACAGCAGGGCTAAGGACATCAGCCAAAGATGTGTGCAGAGGCTGGCTCCCAAGTCTAGAAAGGCCTGCAAGGACAGAGGCCAGCATGAATCCCAAGTGCCACTCCATGGGATCACCTTGTTATCTAGGCCTAGATCACTGCTAGGGAAAAGGAAAAGAAGGGAGAGGAATATCTCCAATTGATTGAGCCTAAACCTGGAAATCTTTTGAACTGGGAATATTCAATATTTCACCACTAATATAAATGGGCTCATGAGCTGAGTTCAGTTTTAGAGAAATAAAGAAAATTATATTTTGTACCCTTGAACATTGTTGAGTGTAATCTTACACCTGCAAAACAAACACATGCACATACACACAAGGTGTACAAGATCTTGCTTGTACACAGATAGAAACATAGACACAGGCTGCGAGCATGCACCCGGGGGCAGGGGCGGGTCACTGACCGAGCCTGACTGGTAGGTGAAGGTGCGTCTCCGATGCAGGCAGCTTCTGCGGATGCACACCAGGGTTAAAAGGGCAGCCAGGATGGTGAGGCAGGTGGCAGACACAGAGCCCACCACCGCCAGGATCAGCTGCTGATCCAGGCCTTCTTCAGCTGCTCGGCTCTCTTGGACTGGGCCCTCAGCCTGCAGCCCTGGACACAGTGAGAGGGGCAGATTGTGGGGACACCTGGGTCAGGGAACCCAGAGGCCACCATGGTGTTTACAGAGGGAGAGGTGAAAGATCCCAGTGCTAGGACTGTCAGAAAATCACTTGGGCCACATGAAGGAAGGGATGAGGGGTGTCAGAGGGGCGACACCATTTTCCCAGCCCTGGGACAGTGGATCATGAGAAGGGAAGGCTGAGTCCCCAGGACCAGGGCTGTGTGTTTTTTGGGAGGGGCCTGGGATACCCTGGCTCCACGGGAGGGGTGATGTGGAGGGAGACTGCGTTGAGCTCTCCCCGCTCAGGGCCCAGGGGTCCTGTGGGCCTTGCCCTCTCACCGTTTCCCAGGGTGGACTCTTCTACTGTGTTGCTCCAGTCCCCGAGCCCCTGAATGCTGGCCCGTACCCGGAACAGGTACCGAGTGCTGGCGTTGAGGCCACGGACAATGGTGCTTGTCTCCTCGGGCCTGTCCACGTCTATCCACAGCGGATCGCCTGTGCCCCCAGCCACCTGCACCTCCACGATATACTTGGATATTGACCCAGGCAGAGCCTCCGGGTGCTGCCATGTCAGCTGAATCTCAGAGTCTGAGAGGGCCTCGGCGTAGAGGTGTCGGGGGGCTGGAGGCCCTAGGGAGATGGGGGCGAGAAGGCAAGGCTCAGACAGGACCGGGCTATGTAGCTGTGGGGCTGCACACATCTGCTCTAGCTGTGCTCCCTGCTCTGTGGGTCCACCACCCTGCCAACTTCCTCCTCCCCACCAGGCTGAATTCCTCTCCATCCCCCCAGGCCACCTTCACCCACAAGCTTCTGCTTTTCCTTGTTCTTCTTGTATCCCAAGTCCTCTCCATATCCCCCCATGCCCTGTGCTCCCCAAGTCTCATGCCCTCCCATGACCCTGGTTCTAGCCATGAGTCCTGACCTCCCCATGCTATCCCAATCCCATATGCTCCTGGTGACCTGTGTCCTCATGGTATCCTGGATCTTCCCCAAGTCCCATGTCCCTGCTGGGGTCACATCTGCCTGATACCCTAGGTGTGTCCTGTGTCCTCTCCATGTCCATTAATCTCCTATAGCCTCCTGGGTCTCCCGGGTCTCATGTGTCCCTGAGTCCCACATCACCGCCCAGCTATCCCCACTCCCTGGGCATACCACTGGGGGGCAGAAGCACGTGTGCAGGGGGCGAGGCTGGGCCCAGGAGGGTGCAGTGGTAGAGCTGCACATCCAGCTGGTAGTGGGTGCCAGGCGTGAGTCCTGTCAGGAGGGCGGTGCGGGCCTGGGGGGATGAGACGTTCTCCCGCCGCTCCTGCCCCCGTGCCCCGTCCCATAGGCGCAGCAGGAAACCGTCGCCCACCAGTGGCCTGGGCACCGAGGGCAAGGACCAGCTCACTCGCAGCCGGTCAGGGCCTTCCACATGCCAGCCCTCCAGCCACGGCTGCAACAAGGGCTCTGGGGCCAGAGGTCAGGGGTCAGAACTGTTCAGTAGGTACTTGGGGCTGGACAGGACAGTGATCCCCAGAACACAAGGAAGGATAACTTCCAATTGGAAAGGCAGGGGTCCCTGGGGTGGAAAGGACAGTAACCCCTTGGGGGACAGGAAGGGATGACTCTTGGCCTCTCACCAGGACAGTCTGTGGTCATGAGGGCGGGAGGCCCCCAGGCCCCCTCTCCCCCTTCCCCCGGCCGGCTCAGCTGCACACGGACACTGTATGTTGTCTTTGGCCTCAGGTTCATTAACGTCACATTCTCACTGGGATCCACTAGGAATGGAGGGTGTGGTATACATCATTCAGCCCCTACCTCTTCTAGAAGCTGCCGTGATCCCTTGAGCCCCCTTGCACCATTTGCCCTCCCTCTCCTGCTCACTGTGTCGCTTCACTATTACTCAACACCCCTGTCCTTCCCCGGCTCTCTCCTGCCCTTGCTTTCCCCACACTCACCCACAATGGCCGACCAGGCCATGGTGCTGTCCTGGGGCCGGTAGTGCAGGCGGACGGAGGAGATGGGTCCATCCCCAGAGAATGAGACCAGCGGGGAGACCACGAGCTGGCGGCTCTGCTTGGCCAGAAGCCGAGGTGCAGCCAGGGGCACCGGGGGCACTGCCAGGAGACTCTGGGTAAGGCATGGGCACAGAGCCTATCCATCCACCTCTGCATCTTTGTTTTGAGCTGGGGACCCTCTGGGCTTGGGGGACACCAAGTTCAACAGATGGCCAGAGTGGCCAGGGCCCAGGGAGGACAGAGTTCTGGCCCCTGGGTAGCTTGGGGCACAGGGATTCAATAATAAAGACATGAAAGTGTCCCAAAAGATGGTAAGTGAGGAAGTGACATGGCCAGACCTGGTTTGGGGGTGAGCACTCCTCCCATGCAGTGTGGGGATAGACAGAAGGATCTGAAATCCAGGGCAGGGAGACAGCCTGGGCATTATCCTGCTCTCTGCACCTGCCCTCATTCACCACTTTCTTAACTTAAAAAAAAAAAAAAAAAAAAGGCCAGGTGCAGTGGCTCATGCCTATAATCTCAACACTTTGGGAGGCCGAGGTGGGCGGATCACAAGGTCAGATCGAGACCATCCTGGCCAGCATGGTGAAACCCTGTCTCTACTAAAAATACAAAAATTAGCTGGGTGTGGTGGCATGTTTCTGTAATTCCAGCTACTCTGGAGGCTGAGGCAGGAGAATCCCTTGAACTCGGGAGGTGGAGGTTGCAGTGAGCCACAGTCTCGCCACTGCACTCTAGTCTGGCGACAGAGCAAGACTTCATCTCAAAAAAAAAAAAAAAAAAAAAGAAAGAAGCCACCAGTGCTGAAGTGCCTGCTCCCCACCATATGCTTCATAGGCATGACCTCTAGTTCCACCACTGCCTTTTCGTCAGGGCTCATTACCCTGCATTATGAAAACACTGAGACTCAGAGGCACCAAATAACTTG